TTTTGTTTAATCTTTTCTGAGCTTTGTCTCTCTCCGCGAAGAAAGGGAAGAGGCGAAGTAGCCCTCAGCGTCCATCTCTCCTGCTTGTTTACTTAATGAATACATCTGGACCTGTGGGCAGGAGTGTGTGTGCATGTGTGCCTGCGTGTGTCAGGGACGGGACAGACAGACAAACAGACATAGAGAGACGGAGAAGTGGTTAGGTTTTATGGTGGAGCTTGCTGCTACGAGGTGTGTGTGTGTGTGTGTGTGTGACGCTTTAACTGCAGTAACGTTTTTCTTTTCTGTTTTTTTTTTTTGCTTTCAGCGAACATCCACGATGACTTTAATATATGTATAATATATATATATATTCTTTCTTCCCTCTCTGCTTTCTGTGTCTCGTCATATCCACGTCTTTTGCTTGTGCGCTGAGTGCGCATTAACAGGGCTCGCATAAAACACATAAAAAAACTAACCCAAACAACATATTTCAAAAAGTGGAAAAAAAAAAGAGACAGTAAGTGCGATGCCCAAAAAAGAGAAGGTAGTAAAGGAAGATGTTGTTGTGAAGCAGGAAGAGGACAGCTCTGACTCCGGTGAGAGCCAGGAGGAATCTAACTGGTGGGAGCAGGAAAACGTCCAGTTTACGTCCAAAGGAGAGAAACGGTGGGACATGTTGAGCCACAACGGTGTCATGTTCCCTCCAGAGTACAAGCCCCACGGCATTCCTATCTACTACGAGGGACGAGAGTTTAAGTTGACACCAGATGAGGAGGAGGTGGCGACAATGTTTGCTGTGATGCGGGAGCACGATTATTATCGTAATGAGATCTTCCGTCGAAATTTTTTCTCTAGCTGGCGAGAGATTCTTGACCGGCGCCAGCATCCAATTCGCCGGTTAGAGCTGTGTGATTTTGAACCTATCTACCAATGGCATCTCCGCGAGCGTGAGAAGAAGCTGAGTCGCACAAAGGAGGAAAAGAAACAGCTGAGGCTCGAAGCTGACAAAGAGGCAGAACCGTACAGATGGTGTGTGTGGGATGGGAAGAAGGAGCAGGTGGCAAATTTTCGAGTGGAGCCCCCAGGGCTATTCCGTGGGCGTGGTCAACATCCGCTGATGGGAAAACTAAAGAAACGCGTTCAACCAGAAGATATCACCATTAATATAGACGAGTACTCGCCTATTCCAAAACCCCCTGAGGGACATCAGTGGAAAGAGGTTTTACATGAGCATAACGTCACTTGGCTGGCGATGTGGCGTGACTCTATCCTTGGCAACTTTAAGTATGTGATGCTTGCCCCTTCGTCAACAATTAAGGGGCAGTCGGATATGATGAAGTTTGAGAAGGCACGGGAGCTTAAGAAGTACGTTGATGACATCCGCCGATCTTACATGGATGACTTTGAATCAAGGGATGTGATGAAAGCGCAACGTGCGGTGGCCATGTACTTCATAGACAAGTTGGCGCTTCGTGTTGGTAACGAGAAGGGATCGGACGAGGCCGATACGGTGGGATGCTGTTCGCTTCGTGTGGAGCACATTCAATTGAAACCTGGCAATGTAGTACAGTTTGACTTTCTTGGCAAAGACTCTATTCGGTACGAGAATGAGGCTGTGGTACTGCCTCCTGTCTATGAATTACTGCGCCGCTTCACCAGAGGGAAGAAGCCGTCTGCTGACATATTTGACATGATTACACCCACAGCGTTGAATGATCACTTAAAATCGTTTATGAGCGGCCTGAGTGCAAAGGTGTTCCGTACCTACAATGCCTCGATTACGCTAGACCGCTGGTTTAAGGAAAAACCCGTCTCACCGTCAGCTTCGGTGCCAGATAAACTAGCATACTTCAACAAGGCCAACACGGAAGTTGCCATTCTGTGTAACCATCAAAAATCCGTCTCAAAGAACCACCGTAACGTGATGCATCAACTGACAACAAAGTCGACGTACACGCGCACAATGATTGACGCCCTCAAACGTGCCCAAGAGACTACCAACAAAAAGTCATTGGAGCAGGCTGCGAAGGAGTACTTTGCAGAGATGGATGAACTGCAGTATAAATGGCTTGAGGCATACGGAACGGAGGAGCAGAGAAAGGAATACGATGAAATTGTCAAAAACCGGGGCATGCCGCGAAAACACTCGTCCACGTCCAGATCGAACGGCTCTAAGTCTGATGGGAAGAAGAAGAAGAAGAAGGCGAAGAAGAGCAGTAGTGCTAATGGGGGAAAGAAAAATGTAAAGAAGACCACGAAAGGCTCCACAAAGCATAAGGACGGCTCAAAGAACGCAAAGAAGACAGACACCGGTAAGCGTCGGAACAAAGCAAAGAGGCAAGTGGAATCGGACTCCGATGACGACATGGCGCTTGCAGATATTGTAACGAAGGTGAACAAAAATAAGAACAGCATCACCAAGCGTGAAGGAAAGGGTGGGGTTAAGCGGGACCGCGGTGGGAAGCCCGTAGTAAAGGCGGAGGCAAGCGATGACGAGGATGTTCCCCTCAGTGCGCTCTGTTAGGCGTTGGGTGGAAGTGTAAAGTGAAAAAAAAAAAACAAAAATGGTCTTATGTTGGTGTAAGAGACCTGGTAGATTTCCGTTCTTCTCCCGTGGTAAGCTGTGCGATGGCGGGGCTGCCCAAAAGTAGCGGTAACCGGGCTGAAGTTTGTGTCCTTAGCTGAACGGTTGCCGCGTCCAAAAAAAAAAAAAGATGAGATTGAGTGGACGAAAAAGAACAACGGGAAGTTGAGGGAAGAAAGCACAGGTGAGGAAAAGCAAAGGACGAAGAAAACGTTTTTTTTTGTTGTTTTTTTGCTTTTGTTGTTGTCCTGCTGCACCAAACCCTTCACATGGTGAAACGATTGAAAGGCCCTTGACGTGTGCGAGTGTTCCACCACTCACCTCGCCCGCGTGTGTACATTTGCGTTGCTGTTATTGCCCTTCTTGAGTGGTGTTTTCCTGTCCTGTTTTGGTTTACTCACTTTTTTGTTGTTGTTTGTATGCTCCTTGTATGCAATGAGGACGGTGGGGTGTGTGGGGAGAGTCCTGTGTGCCGCCGCCACCGTCGCCTTAGAAGACAGGCAGAAATGAGGCGGAGACTCAACCCGGGAACAGCCACACTTGCTAGGCATTCACTAAAGAAACACATCATCAGTTTTGTGCCGTTACTACTTGTAAAAAAAAAAATAATAATAATAAGCAGGAGGCTGTCTGAGAACGGAAATGGAAATGTGAAGAGGGGAGAAACGACATTAGAAGAAGGAGTATGTGTGTCCGCGCATGAGGTTGGTGAGGATATGTACTTGATGTGTTGTCCGCTCTCTCATTGTTTTATGGGTACTTCGGCGAGAACTTGCATTTGACTCTTTTCTTTTACACGTTCACCCACACAAACATGTACGATTTCTCGTACCTACTTGCATGTTTCACTAAAATGGGGGAGTGGGAGTACGGTGCGACAGTCTCTGTGTATTTGGCTGACTGCAGCGATGATGAAATACTGTTCTTTTTTTTTTTTTTAGTTTTCGAGGGTGCCTTTTTGGTGAAACGAAGGTTTTGCCCAGATGCGTCTCTCTAGGCGTATCCAGCTGAGTCCTGAGGTGATTGATTCAGGCCTTCAGCGGCTGAACTGCGTCTCACAAAACATTATAGAGGTGGATATTCACCCAACGGTTCTGGCGCTTCTTACGTCTGCGTCTCCGGATGTTGTGCGTAAAACCGTGGCAGAATTGCCTCTGCACAAAGCGGGGGATCTTGGAAAGGAAGACGCAACGGAATTTAGTGATGCCGGAATGAATACGGCGCTGTCATTCTCCCTTCACACGGTGCTTCTTTCCCGTAACCGTTTGACAACCACATTGGGCCTCGTTCAGTTCAAGAATGTGGTGCGGCTTTCCTTGCTGGGGAACAGAATACAACGCATTGAGGACTGCGAGGCACTTTCTTTGCTACCTTCATTGCAGTACCTTACGTTGGAGTTTAATCCGGTGACGTCGCTTCCGCACTATCGTGCTCATATCTTTCGCATCTGTTCCTGGCCTGACACTCTAAGCCAAAAAAAATGTCGACTGAGAAAGTTGGACACACGCTCTGTTTTACCAGCCGAGGTGGAGCGAGCTGCAGAGTGCCTTCAGCGCGAAAAGGTTACATTAGGTGAGCTTGTTCACCGCATGCGATTTTTAGCTCTCTTGACTGAGGCAGAGAAAAGAATAGCGCTACACAATGAGCTTCGCCGTAGGGGCGTTGTGCTGCAAGATACCGTTCTTAATCTAACGGTTGAGAGTATCGTTACAAGATGTTCTACACAGCTGCTGGCCCTTATTGACGTCGGCGCCGCCTCGCACCTTGCGAGACGTCTTATGAGTGGGAAATGCCGAATGTGTGCCATGACCCCAGAGAATTCGTTTAACGCGGATACGTCTACCGAGAACGAATTTTCGCCGGTAGCCACTTCCTTTGCGCATTCGCGTTCCAGTTCAAACATACTGACACTTCAAAGTCCCTATCAAGCTGATTTGACGGCATTTTGTAAGGAATGGTCAAGAGATGTCTTTCGTCGTGCCATGACATCACTTGATCATCGTATTTGTGGCCTTCTTCTGAATATTGCTCATACGCTGGGTGAAGAGCTGACTGTGATGGATGTGGATCACTTGAATAAGCTTTGGTTTACGCAGGTTGCCAAGGTTGACAGCTGCAAATTCTATCAATGCGACAAGTTTAAGAAAAATCTTATGGAAAATAAAAAGTTACTCATAGTTACCTCAAGGAGAGAGACATTGAGGGAAGAAAAGAATGAGGTAGCGAGAAAGAATTCTACACGGGAGGAATTTATTCGTGTTGCGCTCAGCCCTAGTGAGACCCACCTGCACACCCCATGCGTGGAGGCGAAGGAGGACAATGCGGGCGCTGTATCGCTGCGCAGCGTCTCTTCAATTTCTCAGGACGACGTGCACGGCAGTGATGTCATTGCGATCCATGACTGGCAGAAACCGAGCTCTGGTGGTTTGGACGAGTCCTGTCGGAAACAGCCAGATTTGGCTAAAGCATCGTATGACGCTGGCAACACGGAGGCGTTGATGGAGTCTACGACCGTGGAGGGGTGTAATAGTGATCGGGTATCAGTGGAGCTGCCACTGACGGCACCTGTTCCATTTCCGGCATTAAAAGAAGAATTCTTGCTTGAGCAAGAAATACATCATAGGCTTAACTGTCATGTACGGCGTCGCATCCTGCGTGTGTGGAAAACCAAGGCGTGGCGGAGACGACAAGGTGCACTATGTTTACAATTTACGCAGAAACGTCTTGAAGGCTTACTACTACTTCCAACTCCAACTCCACACGCCATCTGTAATACGCTGCAACTGATCCCGCGGAGAGAGCGAAAGTATGTGTTTTTTAAGTTTTGGCGTGAGCAAGCTCGACGGTCGTATGCTCCAAGGTTACTCCGTCTGGCGCAGCTTATCACACGGTGGCGATGGCGGACGTACCAGCAACGGATCATTAATCACTTTGCGGTGAGACGTCGCACACAAATTTTAAATGAAGTGTGGTGTCATTGGCGTGAGGCTCTGCATACGCGCGTTGCAGAGACACGCACTCGCCTGAGAGACAACGCACACAACATAGATGTTTCCTCCAATGCGATGACGGGTCTCCAATCATCTGCACAAAATAATCATCGAATCATGACGATTTCGTCTGAGGCAGAATCAAAAGAGCTTTATGAAACTCCTTTTGAGAGCCGGTTTCCATTCAAGGTGGCTACAGAAGCAACACCGGGTCTCACATGCAGCACAAAACTCTCTGCGAACGGCAGGGTTAACATGCCGCACACCCTCCACATGGTGAGCACCCCTGCAGTTGCATCTCATCTTTTCTTGCCGATGATAACGCCGAACGCGGGGGAGGCTACGCCTCTTCAGCCATCCTCCTTCTGTGATAAAGAAACGCAAACAACACCATCACCATCGAACGATGACCTCAGAGACGAATCAAGGGATAAATTTTGTTTGGAAGCCAAGCAGGCAATAAAAGCGATGCAGGTGGATCGTCTACGCCTTGTCGATCGGCTGATCTCCCTGGAACAACGACTGAGTGAGGAATCCTTGCGTGTTCAATACCGAGAGGAAGAGATTGAAGGACTCAAGCAAAAGCTTAACGCCATGATGCTTCGTGAGGAGTGTATGGGCTCTACTATTAGCGATTACCAGCGGGAGCTAGGGCATCTGAGGGCCGTCGTTCAGGCTCTGCGGGAGGAAAGGCGGGATATGTTACGTCCCATTTTGCACTGAAGGAGCATATATCTCAGTTGCTATTCTTTTTTTTTCTTTTTTATCTTTTTCTTGCCTGCTCATGGTTTTTTGTTCTTGTAAATTATGGGTCAGGGAAACGAGGGAGAGAAAAGGGGTGAAGCAACCTGGAGACCGTGCTATATTTTTGCCTTTTCCATTCCCTTTTTGTTTCATTTTCTCATTTCTTAATGTTATTTATTCATTTGTTTATTTATGTATTTTTCATGATTATTGTTTTTTTCTTTTTATTTTTCCATAGGGCGCTGTGCCGTTGTTCTGGTTGGCTTTTAAAGGGGAGAGAGAGAGGTAAAGTAAAAAAAAAAAGGAAGGCAAGGTCGTCATCCAAGAGACGTTAACAACAACAAAAGGAAGATGTTTGGAGGTGGTGAAGAATATTTTCGCGAGCCTCCGTCAATAGATCGCGACACACTGCAGCGATTTGCGCTGTTCTGTGCACGTCTTCGTGCGGCAGAGAAACCTGGAAAAAAGACAGTGGCCGAGGCTGCCGCGTTGGCCCGCGATGTGGGCAACAATGAAATGGCCTTTGAGCTCGTCGTTGGTGTTCTTTTTCGTCACATCAAGTCATGGGCGGGAAACAAGCAGTTAACGTGCTGGTATATTTTGGATAAGCTGTGTAAGGAGGACCGCGACAAATATGGCTACACTGCAAGCAAATACGTTCTTGAGATTGGTCGAGACTACATTCCGTACGAAGATCCTGTGCTGGGTCCAAAGTATGAGAGCCTCGTAGAGCACTGGGAGGGTGTTTTCCCACGTCACGTTGTGGATGCCCTCTGGTTGGCAAAAAAAGACCGTTTATGGGCCATAGAGCACCCCAACGATGTACTGCGACGAAAGGAGGAAGAAGAGCAGCAGTGGAAGCAGGAGGAGATGGCGATGGAAGATGAAGATGGCCTGAACGATTACGGACAACCGTGCATGGATTATCTGCAAGGTCGCTGTTTTTGGGGCGACGCCTGTCGTTTGTACCATCCTCCAGGGGAGGAAGGGACAATGCCGCTTGAATGCCGCTTGGGAGACTGGAAATGCCCATCATGTGGTGCGATTAATCGTCACTTTCAGCGACGTTGCTCGAGCTGTGTGAGGGAAAAGCCTCAGTACAAGAAGGGACGAAAACCCACGGCGGAGGAGGCGTTATTATCGTCGCCGGACCCAAATGTTTATGCTGCACTCCGGCGCCAATTTGGTTATGATCCCAACGTTGTAGAGGAGGCAGAAGCTCACTGGAAAACACGTTTGGAAAATACACCCATTGAGGCTTACAAAGAAGAGCGACGTGCAGCCTATCACGTACGTATTTTGGGAAAGACGCCGACTTCAAAGCTGGAGGAACGTATGCGATCGCAAAGGAATTATCCTGATATTGATATTGGGCCGCCTGAGGAAGTTGTCGATTTCAGTGCGGCTCCTGGACGGACAGCAAGTGAATTGTTGGTTCCTGCTGACGCTCCTTCAGTGAGCGCTGTGGGTCTTCTCGCTCAAACGATCACTGAGCGTGGGGCTAGAGATCCAAAATTACCGCAGATTTTATTTGAACTTGCCTATCACGTAAAGCAGGTTGCGGGAGATGGTGGGGCGAAGTTGTCATCGACTCAAGCCGAGACACTGCTGACGGCCTGCAAGATTGTGTTTTCTGCCTGGGGCGCAGATCGTAGTGCGGCACCGTTTGTCCCACCATTCTTCAAGGAAATACGTCACACCGAGGACTCTTTGGGCTTGTCAAGTGAACAGCAGGAACATCTCACCTCCATCACGCGAGAATTCTGGGCGAATTGATTTCCAGTAGATGCTTTGAGGAAGTTCAGGAAAAGCGACATAAACATGAAGACGTGTAATAGGATAACGCGTTTTCTTGCGTGTATGGAGTGCGTCTAAGAGGTGGTACAGTGCCCCAGGGTGTGGGTGATGGAGAGGTGTCGTTTTAATACTTCTGTGAGTGTCCTTTTACGCTCTGCATCTTCTTGTCAGGTCTGCAGTTTGCGTGGAAGGAGGGCAAACGGGGGCAATGCGGGGTAAATAAAGAGGCTAGTGTTGAGAAATGTTTGAAAAGTCTGCACATCAAACTAGTCGGAGTGATTCTACTCAGTGAGGTGCGTTTTTTTTTTCTTTGCGTATCTTCTTTCTTCTTGCAGGTCAGTGTCTTTTTTTATTATTATTACTTATTATTTTTTTTTGCCTTTTTAATTGCATACTTCCAGTTTGTCTAAGTTTTTTTTCCAAGAGGACGAAATCATTAATACTTATTCTAATCGCCTATATCAGCAAACATGGCAACCTTTTTGATGATACAGAGCCCATTATTTGGTCCCAAGATTGTTGCCCCAGACAATCACTTCATTACTGTGCCTCAAGTGAGTGAGGGTCAGGGCCAGCAGGACAACTGCGTTGTGGCCGCCCTTCAAAGGAAAATTGAGGAACGTCTTGTGAAGGATGCAAATGCTAAGGTGATATTCCTTGACATTAATGGGGAGCCACGATCTACGCGTTGTGTCTACGAATCGTTGTACGAGACTCTGTTTGTCAATGATTCGGTTTCCGTTCATCATTTTACGGACGCGGAAGGCGGTATCAAGCGTCGTCTGGTCATTCTCTATCCAATGTCAAAGAAACGTCGTGGTGAATTGCCAAAGGTCCAGCTGTTGAGAAAGCTGGACAAAACGGTCAAAACAGAGGAGCAGTCGGGGTTGGAACTCTTGGATCTGCGTCACTTTGAACGAGACGGCAAAGTTCTGGAAGGCATGGGGGTGTTGAACTTTTCGTACAACGGTGAGTTTGTCTACATGGCGCTTTCTTCGCGCAGCAACGAAGAGGTTCTTGATGTTGTCTGCAGCCCTGAATACTTGAACATTCCCAAGGGGAAGCGGTTTATCTTCACTGCTGTGCTTCCACGTTTTGCTGACAATGGACATAAGACCGGTGAAGACGTTGTCCATCACACCAACCTTATTGGCTGGTGCGGAAAGGGCATCTGTGCGTGGGGCCTTGAATTTTTGCGCTTCCCTTCTGAGGAGAAGAAGAACGCCTTTTACGAGCACCTGGAGGAAAGGTACGCGAAGATCCTCAATCTCAACGCCGAGGAGATTCGCGCCTTTGCTGGCAACGCCTGCGAGATTTCGCTTTCTACGGGGGAGGGTGAACGTCACGTTCTGTGTATTTCTAATCTTGCCATCAACTCTCTTCGTGACCGCAACGTCAAAATCCTTAAAGAGTGGTATGGGCAAGATAACATATTTATCTTCTACGGAGAAACACTCGAACGCCGGGCTGGTACCTCGGTTGGCGGATTAATCGGCCGCCCAGTCACCCACGGCGAGGTTCTTCCTGCCCCTGGGAACGTGACTGCTTTGGAAGTGGCACGTGTCGATGAAAAGGTTATTTGCCCTACGGTGCGTCGTTAATCTCACTTCCCCCCCCCCCCCCCCTCTCCTCTTACCCACTTTCCCCTTCACCGCTGTACCGGCCATGCGGAGTTGATGACATGTTAGACGCTTCACTGGCCTTATTATCTATATGAGACTGCACATCGGCAAAACAAAGAAAACAAAAAAAAGTGGGGGAAAGAGCGGGGAAACCAATGCGAAGGAAAAACGACAAGGAGTTGAGGGGAAACGTAAAATGAGAATTTTCCCTGATTGTTTGTCAAGGGGATACTAGATAAATGGAAGGAAGGAAAGGAGGTATGAAATGTAATTTGACTGCGATGAAAATGGTGTAGGTATGTGGAGGGGCTCTATTTTTGTTTTACTCCTTTTTCTTTTTTTTTTAGGGAATTTTGTGATTGTGTATGTATATTTTACTATTCCGTTTACGTTTTTTTGTCGATGTCTGTGCCTGTGGTATTTTGTTGTCTTTCACTTGCTTTGTTGCATTCTTGTTTTTTTTTTTTTTTAGTTGGTCTTGTTTTGTTTTGTTTGACGACAGGCAGTTTATTTATTATTATTACTTTTTGTTTTTCTACCTTTAGCGGAGGGTTTGGTGTTATGCCGCTGACTCCAAACGATGATATTGTGGAGATCAGTCGACGCTGCAACTTTCTTCGCATGGCGCTGGCTAATGCAGAGGATGCTTTTAAAACCAACCCTACTCTGAAGTACATGTATTTGTGTGAGGTCAGTGAGGAACGTCCAAACCCCACGTTCCTGTGCTTTAGTAAAGGCACATATGGGAGTCGTCTAGACCTGCACCGCGACTACCTCAGCCAGCGGGCAATTCTTCCCATTATCCTCACCCTACCCTTGTGCCCATGGCTCAAGCACATCAATCTTCGCGAGGAGCGTCTCACCACCACCCTCATAGAGATCTTGTGTGAGTCGCTTAAAAATCTTCCGCGCATCAGAACTATAGACGTTTCAGGGAACCCGTTTGGCTCATTTGGCCTGCAAGCGCTCTTGAAGCTTGTTCTTTGGAGACGTAGCATTGTGGATTGCTACGTGGGGAGCACACAAGGTGTGGGATCCTTGCTGCGTCGGCTGCAGATGGCGTGTGGAAGGAACTACCGAGACTTAGCTCAGAGGGAACAAGAGGAGACGGAAAAGGAAGAAGAAGAGGAAGAGGAGGAAGAAGAAAAAATGGGGTTTGTAATGGGGGTGGAGACAGAACAGGAAGGAGAGGCATCTGATGCTCTTCTCACTTGAGTGACATCGAAGAAACGGGTCCGAGGGGGGGGGTGGACAACGAGTAAACGAGGAGTACGAGTGGTGGGACTCTGCCTTGTGATGTAAATTATTGATTTTGTCCTTTCTTGCGCACGCAGCACCGGCAGCGGCATGTGAGGGCAAAAAAAAAAAACACTCAGAAGTTGAACCTAAGCTTTTATAATTAAATCGATGGAAGGTGTCTTTCTATGTGTGCATTATTCGGCGATGCCGTATTTGGGCGGAGCCGGTCCCCGGTATTTTTTTCTTTTGACGGTTTTTAGATTGAACAATACAAAAAGAATATAACGCAATGAGGCGCGTTGTGCCATTCAACAAATACATGTTATCGTTGACTCCCTTAGACCGGTTGGCAGGCCGCACGGTGAATCGTACGGCGGAGGCTTATGTTGCTTTTGCAATTCGTCTGTGCAGTACACAGCAGCCGCCCCCAACTACAGGTACACTGGAGGACCTTCACAGGTCCGCGGTCGAATTTTTTGGGCGTGGTGACTTCATTAATGCAATTAAGCAGTGGGAAGCTATGATGGATTCCCTGGGTACAGCTGATAGTAGCAGCAATAGCAGTAACAATGTGTTAATGAGCTGCTTGAATAACTTGGCCTGTGCCTATGGGGAGATTGGGCACCATGCCAAAAAACTTCAGTTGCTTGAGCGCTCACACGACATGGTGAAAGGGGTCTATGGGGAAGACCACCCACAATACGGCTTGGTTCTGTACAATATGGCTTCTGTGTACGAAGAGATGGGCCGGTACACAGAGATGGAGGAACTCCTGCTCAAATCAGTTGCTATTTATGAGCGGAAGTTCCACACAAAGCATCCCAAAGTGGGGCGTGTGTTGTTGCTTCTTGCTGAAGCAAGTGGTCATTTAGGAAAATATGAGGCTCAGCTTCAAGTGGCCGAGAGAGCCTTTGAGATTGTGCGCCGTCACTGTGGACCAGAGCATGTACAAACCACTATTGCTCTGCTAACCCTTTCCAGGGCACATGGGGCAAATGGTAGTTACGCCAAGCAGTTACAACTTGCGCAGCAGGCCTATGAAATTCAAGAAAGGAAGCTGGGTGCAATGAACCCGCAGATAGCTTTGACGCTTATGGAATTAGCACTTGCCCATGGGGCAAACGGAGATCACTTTCATCAAAAAGTGCTTCTGGAGAAAGCCATTGAGGTACAAAAGCGTGCTTTTGGTAACCAACACACGCACCTTGTCTCGACCTATACAGCCTTGGGTGATGCATACGGCAAATTAGATGAGCGACAGAACCAAGCTGCATCCTATTGTGAAGCTCTTAACATTGCACGGAAACGCTACCGAGGGAAGCATCTCATTATTGGCAATGCCGCTAACAAATGTGCGTGGGGTTATCTACGCATTGGGAAGGTGGAAGAGGCTAAGGTATTGGCAGAAGAAGCGCGTATTATTATTCAGGGGACAGTCTCTGGGCAACACCCTGCGGCAGTGGAGCTGTGTGCAACGCTTGAAGAATTGAAAAAGGTGCTCCGTGAAAAGGGGGAATAATCATAGCAATGGCTTAGGTTCTCTCTTGTGTACATTTTTTTTTCTTTTTTATTGGATCTGGTTGATGAATCTTCACAAGGAAATCACCACCACCCGAGAGAACAACACCAAAAAAAAAAAAAGAACAAGAAGGGAGCAGGTACACGTGCAAATACGTACTATACATCTCATTTGGTTCTCGTTTTATGCTCCTGTTTTTCTCTTCTTTTCTGCTACTTTTTTTTTTCTCTCTCCCATCTGGCTGAGTGTCAGTGTGTGTGCAAAGACGAGGGAAAACAGAAAAGGAAGAATTCAGTGAGGTTGTCTAGGGAGGATGTCCGGAATAAAGATTGAGGAGGTCATTTCTACCACGAAAAGGCAGCGTGTGGCGGCTCACAGCCATGTGAAAGGGTTGGGCTTGGATTCAGAGGGTTCAGCCAAACCCACCGCAGATGGATTTGTGGGGCAACTGAAGGCTCGTGAGGCCGCCGGTATTATTGTGGAACTCACAAGAAGCAAAAAAATGGCTGGGCGTGCACTTCTCTTTGCTGGCCCTCCTGGAACAGGCAAGACGGCGTTGGCACTTGGTATTGCAAAGGAGTTGGGGTTAAAGGTCCCTTTTTGCCCCATGGTTGGCAGCGAAGTGTACAGTGCTGAAATAAAGAAGACAGAGGTGCTGATGGAAAACTTTCGCCGAGCAATTGGGCTTCGTATTAAAGAGCAAAAAGAGGTTTATGAGGGTGAAGTCACAGAATTGCGGGCTGAAGAGACGGATAATCCATTGGGAGGGTATGGCAAATCGATTGCTCACGTTATTATGACTCTCAAGTCTGTCAAGGGTTCGAAGCAACTTAAGTTAGATGCTGCCATCTATGAAAGCTTGGAGAAGGAAAAGGTATCTGTTGGTGACGTTATTTACATTGAGGCCAGTACTGGGGCTGTAAAGCGTGTTGGACGCTCAGACGCGTACATTGGTGATCATGACCTGGAAGCGGATGAGTACGTGCCATTACCGAAAGGCGATGTTCACAAGAAGAAGGAGATCATTCAAGATGTGACTCTGCATGATCTTGATTCTGCCAATGCTAAACCAAACCAAGGTCAAGATGCTCTCTCTATTGTTAACAGTCTAATGAAACAGAAAAAGACAGAGATTACAGAGAAGCTACGACACGAGATCAACAAGGTTGTGAACAAGTACATTGATCAAGGTGTAGCTGAATTGGTTCCAGGTGTCTTGTTTATTGATGAAGTACACATGTTGGATATTGAATGTTTTACCTTCCTGAATAAGGCACTAGAATCAACACTGGCTCCTGTGGTAATTTTTGCTACCAACAGAGGCAGCTGTCGTATCCGAGGAACAGACATTCGATCTCCACATGGTATTCCCACCGATTTGCTTGATCGTCTGCTTATTGTGCGTACTTCAAATTACACCATTGATGAAATTGTTTCTATTGTTGACATTCGTGCCCAGGTGGAGGGGGTAAAAGTGTCAGATGCTTCATTAGAGCTGCTCGGAGAAATTGGAGAACGCACCTCCCTGCGGTATGTGGTACAACTGCTCACTCCAGCGCTTATTATTGCTGAGACAAATGGCCGCAACGTAATTGAAGTGGAAGATGTGGTTTTGGTGGATGGGTTGTTTAAGGACGCTAAGGCTTCAGCGCAACTTCTCCATGAGCACGCCGATGACTACGTGTATCAGTAGAAGAAATTTAAGAAACGAAGAAGGGGGAAGAAGAGGGTGAAAGTTGTGATCATATATGTGAACGGAAGTATGTGAATGCATCAACGAGAAGAAAAGTGAAGGGTGCAGGCGCAGTACTTGTGGAGGGTGAAACATGAATAGATTATACTGCCCTTCTTGAAAATGGTGTGAGACACAACCCACTAGAAATAAATTTATTATTGGCGTTGACCTGTGTTTAAGAATACAAAGCATGACTTGTGTGCGTTGGTGTTGATTCCTCACCAATTCTTTCGCTTGAATGATGGAGTGGAATTTATTTCTCTGCATAACTTCTTTTTTGTCTTTATTGGAAGCATTATTAATGGGAAGGGAGTTATCTCCCTTTGTGTACACATGTCTCTTTTTATTCTCTCTGTTGTTGTTGCTTTTTTGCCGCTTCCTGTTCTATTTCGCTAAGGGGCAGGCGACACTCTCCTTGCGGCATACAGCACTAGTAAGTTATTCGCCTTTAGTTTTTTTTTCTGGACGCGAGGGGTTGGGAGAGGGGGACGAGATTAGCAGGGAGGGAGATGGAGTTTGTCTGCCGTGAGGGGGGCCCTCCGCGTCGTTTTTTCTGTGCCAATAAAGATACGTATAGGGAAGTGTGGCCCTGTCTTTTTTCACGAAGGGTGCCCGCCGCGCGTTTGTTTCTTCGTTGGGCCGCCAGGAATGGAGCAGCGGTGCATTGTGCGCTGAAGCTACAGCTTCATCATGGGCGAGGGTGCCGATTGGTCGCCACGCGACGAATTTATCCTGGGCGGGCCTTGGTATCATTGCCCCTTACACTCTCTCTGTCAGCCGCACCGCACGAACAACGCAAGAGTTTTTCTTGTCATTGGGACTCGTTGGAAACACTCACTGGGGTTGTGGTGCGTGAGCTGCACAATCCCCGAAGCTTTCACCGCGGATACCTTGAGTTTTTGCATGACCTGTACAATACTGAGACTGCCGACGTGTTCACAAATCGTATCTCGTTGCATGAAGAATTAGAAAGGATGTACATGGGGAACTCCATGCAGGCGCAAGGAATTTTAAACGGCCCTTTTTTATCGAAAGAGAGTCTTGTGTCCCCTTCCCAGCGCGTTGAGTGGGTGCGGTTGCGTTCTCTGTCGCGGCGCATGGAGCAGAGTTTGCCTCATTTTGCCTCCAAATCCGTGCCATGGGGAATGTCAATGGTCTTATCTCGTGCTCTTTGCGATGATTTCGGTGGTCTGACATTATACCCCATCATAGATTTTTGCCTTCATAGCTTTGAGCCTAATTCCGTAGTTCGTGTCATGCCCGCTGAAAGTGGCCATGGCAAAGGTGTTGGTCTGCGATGGCATGACACCAGTGTGTCGTGTGCGCATCTAGTGACACAGCGCGACATCTCGGCTGGTGAGTCTGTAACTGTCATGTATAGCCCACGCCGTGTGCTGTCTAGCGAAGATGCCGAATATTGGAAACTGAGGTGGGGTTATGTGCCAAATTAGTGTTTCCCCACAACAAGATGTTTTGGTATGTGTTATTTGTTTTCACACATGCAAACATAAAAACAGTGATCATTTTTTTCTTTTTTCTTTTTCTTCCTTCATGCGCATGAGGGTGGTTGTTTTTTTCTGGATGTTGTTGTTGATTTTTTATTGTGGTATAATGCTTTCTATGTACACAATATTTTTTTTTCTTTCTCTTCCCTCATTCACTACTTATGTTTCATTAATTAAACACATGTGCAGGTGTGCGTGTGTGTGTGTTTCCATTGGTTACGCTTCTGTAAAGAATCAGCATGCAGCCAAGTTCTTTTGAGGTATTTATTGATTTCTCTCGCACCGATGCATTCGTCAGGGTATCGAATAAATTTATTAACAGTTGTCTTATTCCCCACTACGGCAGCAAAATTCCATCGGTGGTGCCACTGAAGCTTTCAGATGGAAAAAAAGACCTTTATGTTGGGTGTCTAACTCATAACACACACAACTTTGAGCCTCGCAAGCTATTCATGTCGGTTGTTTTAGGAAGGGACCTGGGGTTGGCTGATGGCCAGATTGTGCATTGCGTTCCTGTGTATCAACCCACGAAGGCAACACGGGTGCTTGTCTTGCCCGCCTCTGTGGACGAGAGCGAGGTTGTGGAGCAAAATCGCACTTCGTATTGAGGCACAGTTGCTTCGTCAGGTTCAAGTCATCTTCCCGGGAATGTTTATCAGCGTTGTTGTCTTTGCTGACGTTCACGCCAGGGTGGTGGTTCAGCGAATTGAAGACGCCCAGGGTCGTGAAGTCACCTCGGGATGCGCCGTCATGGCTGAAGGAACGGAATTTGTCATTGCTACGAGATCGAGGCAAATTGCTGAAGACGTAACACCCATGTGGGCCATCCTGCGCTCTCACCCGTACTTTACTTGTGAGACAACAGCGCTGCTTACAGACGCCGGGGTGTCGCTTCTGCTGAATCCCGCAACTGCAAAACGCTACCATTGGCATGAGGGTCTTGTAGTCGGTTTTTGGGACCTTGCACGCATGTCACAGCTTCTTGAATCTAGGCAGGTGACACCATCTTTTCTTCGCACAAACGCCTGGAAAGCCCCTATTCGATACGTTAACGAGATACCTGACGGGGTGTGCTACTGTACGGTTTTGGGGCAGACATCCAACGTGATTGTTTTTCCCAATCCAGAGGAAAATGTGCGACATGTGACGGACAAGGATGTCGCAGAAGAATGTCTTCTCTTTTCTTCTTGTAAAGAGATCGACTTTGACAAGGTAGCAGCTGTTCACGGGGGCATTGCTCAAGAGCTCCTGCGTCACTTATCGAGCTGGTTTGCTCGGACAAAGGAATTGAGTGGTTCCTCTGGTGTAATGCAGGGAGGCAATTGTAATGTGCTGCTTTGTGGTGGAAAGGGTTACGGCAAAACAACGCTCGCTGCAGCTGTACTGAACAAACTTCAGGGTGTCCATGTCTGTGTTGTTCAATGCACTTGCAGTGGAAATCGACTCCTACACTCCTTACAAAAGGCCTTGGTGGAGTGTATCTTGTGTGCACCTTCAGTTCTTATTTTAGACAATTTTGACGGTATTGCTCCGGTACAACGTGATGGAGCAGTCACAGCGGTTAGTGGTACGACAAGGTCTATCTTGGAAGAGATGCTGCGTTGCTTTACTGACACACTTACTTTTATCGGTCGAAGCTCTGTTGTTGTGCTCGCAACTTGTGGAGATCGTGAAGCTGTTCACGAACGTCTTAGATCGGCGAACTGTTTTGCCAAAGTTATGAAACTTGAAGCCTTGGACCGAAAGGCGCACCTGTCATTGCTCAAACAGATGTTCCCAAAAGAAACCACAGATACCTTGGAGAAACTGGCTTCTTTGATGGAAAATTACACCCCATTTGATATTAAACGGGTTTCAGTGCGCATTAAAAATGGTTTTATGAATGGGAATCTTCCTTCTTTGGAGAAGGTAAAGGAAGTCATTGCCTGCTTTACTCCGTTGTCTCACACCGGCATTAGTTTTCTCAAGGGTGAAAAACGGTCTTTGGATTCCATTGGAGGCCTTTCTGATGCAAAGAAAATATTGTACGACACTTTAGTGTTGCCTATAAAGCATCCCGAGTTGTTTGCGCGCCTTCCATTGAAAACACGAAGTGGAATTCTTCTTTACGGTCCTTCTGGTTGTGGAAAAACGTTTTTGGTTGAGGCTCTTGTAAATGCGACGGACCTGAATTGCATTGTGGTCAATGGTCCTGAAGTGTTTGGGAAATACATCGGTCAGAGTGAGCAGAAGATCCGTGATGTTTTTGAGCGTGCGCAAGCAGCTGCACCTTGTGTGATTTTTTTTGACGAGTTTGACTCGGTTGCTCCACAACGTGGTGTGGATAACTCCGGCGTCACTGATCGCGTTGTGAATCAGTTGTTGTGTTACTTGGATGGGGTGGAAGGGCGAAAAGATGTTTATGTTGTGGCGGCATCTAGTCGTCCTGACTTGATAGATGCCGCATTGCTGCGACCAGGCAGACTGGATAAGGCCGTGGAGTGTCCCATTCCATCCTATGAAGAACGTTTGGAGATATTATTGCGGTGCTTCAAAGAGGCCTCAGCCAATCTTTCACAGAGGGAAATTGAGGGACTAGCGCGGCAAACTGACAATTGGACGCCAGCAGACCTATCTGGATTGGTCTCCTCTGCGCATCTTTTTGTGACTCGGCGTGTGATTGAACAGCTTTCTTTGAACAGCATGGAGACGAATTCCGAGCAATGTTTTGCTGTGACAAATGTGGGTAAAGGCACAACCAGGGAGAAGGTTGAGGACGCCCTGAAACCAATCTTTGCTATCGGAAAGAGGGAAAACGCTTTGGAACTTGTCACACAAATGGGCATGGAGGATGTGCAGCAGGCGCTGGCGATAACTCGTCCTTCTTTAACCTACAAAGACATTTCCGATTACGAGAGAATTCGATGCCTCTTTACTGGCCAAGGCGTGAGAGACATTACAGCCAACGTGGGGAAAAAACTCGCCTTTAAGTAAGCTTCTTAACAACAACCACACAAAAGAAAAAAAACGGGGTGCCTCTACGTAAGAATAATGATGTGGAGTAGACTTACTTTTCAGTCTCGCTATGCCCGTTTCGCCCGCGAATTACAACGTTGTTGGAAGGAGATGGGTCAAGGTGTATACTTGGTAGAGAGAAGTGAGACTCAATGAGACAGCAGAGGAGAAAGATGGACATTTCATGATGTCCTAACCACAATTCTATTCTATTATTATGTTTTGCATTGGGAATACTCGGTGCCGCAAAAAAAAAAAAAAAACGGTGAGCTCACACCGTCTATACATTCGTTTTGTCCCCCCACGTCCTAGGCTAATGGATGGAAGGGGACGAGTGTTGACTGAGGTGCTCGTAAAGGAGGAGCGTTATTTTCGCAGGAGGGTGGAGGGGAAGCCTTGTCTACAAAAAAAGTCTCATTCGACAAGGATTTTTGTATCAACCCTGCACTTGAGTTTTTACTGAAAGCGTAAGAGAAGGCGAATAATACAAAACAAAAAAACAAAAGTTGCTAAGGAAGCAGAATAAGTGGTGTGTGGAGAGCAGAGGGTGACGAGATTGGAGCTTCCATTTGACGTGTGCGAGGTCCTATGGGCAGTGTTTTTTTTTGAATTTTGTGGTACACTAAGCAACAGGAAGGACTCACGGAGGATGTTTTTTTTTTCTAAATGATGGACTGCAAGCATTTTAGTTATTCCATTTTTTTTTTGGTCTTTATTTCTTCATGGGTTGTGGGTACTTTGCTTCACATCGGCCTGAAACAAGGGGACAACCTTGAAAACAAGAATAAATCTGCTCTGACAAGCCTACTACATAATTATCTAAAGAACAAATGTCAACGGAATTCTCATTGGTGGTTTTTTGGAGCCACAGGCTACACGGGCAAACTGGTATGTGAGTACCCTTGCACGTCTGGTTTCAGGTAATGTGGGACCTTGAGCAATTGCAGGCCGTAATAAGGAGAATCCAGATGAACTAAAGAAGGAACTTGGCGTGGACATCGCTGTGCTTTCTGCAGATATTACCAACCCCAGTTCCCTTGGCAAAAAGTCTGTGCTGGTACCAGCGTGCTCATTTCCTGTGCCGGTCCCTTTACACAGGTTGGGATGTCCGTCATGGAGGCCTGCGTGCGATGCCGTACGCACTACGTGGACTCAACAGGTGAGTATAATTTTGTCCGTCAAGTCATTGAACGATTTAACGAGGAAGCTAAGAAACAGGGTGTTGCTCTGGTGTCCTGTTGCGCATTTGACAGCGTCCCTGGGGACCTGGGCAACTACGTTGTGCATCAAGGCCTTGGTGCACAGGTGAGCGAAGTAAGGGCGTTTTACCAGCTGTCGGGTGCCGGGATGTCGGGCGGCACGGCACGCTCTGTCTTTGCGCTTCGTGAGGCGTGCTGCCCGGAAGACAGCGATCCATACAGCTTGCTCCCGACGGATGCTTCACGCCCCGTTAAAGCGCCCACGCGGAGAGGTTTGTGGTACGATGTTTCGGAGAAGAGGCTGACGGGGCCGTTTGTGATGGCTGCCACCAATGAGCGCGTGGTGCGTCGCACGAATGCCTTGCTTGGCTACGGAGGCACCTACGTGGAGGCACAGGAGGGAACACTTGGAGTTGTTGCCGCTGCAACTATCACGAGGTATCTGATGGCGGCGGTACTTGCTGTCCCGTTCCTCCGTCGCTACATCGCTGAACACTGGCTGCCACCGGTGGGAGCAGGCCCCACACAGTCGCAGAGGGAACTGTCGTGGTATAAGTGCGTCTTTGTCGCGGTCGATAAGTCCGGAAAGACGCTGCGGCGGGTCGTACTCTCCGACACGCGCGACGCGTACACAGCAAGCGACATGTACATTGCCGAAGCAGCTCTCAGTGCACTGCAACGGGCCAAGGAAGGTTCTCTGGGTACCGGTGCATTGATGACGCCCATGGCGGCATTCGGCGACGTTCTGCTTCATCGCGTCCGACAGGCCGGCGTCGTGGTGGAGGTGGTGGAAGAAGCGACTGCAAGCACGACAGCGCCCGCACAATAAGTGGGTTGGAACTCCTCGGTTGGGGTCAATAATATAAGCTGAGAGTGCTCCTGTCTTCGCATGACAACAGGGCATACTGCTGCGGAAATATCATTTAAATTATACTCTTTTGCGCGTTTATCGTAGGGCCCTACGAGAAAGAGTAAAACTGAGCACAGGCTCGTCAGCATGGCTCTTTACATCATTTTTTTTTCTTTTTGGTCACGCCACGGAAGTCGCTTGGTGCATGTGAGGAGAATGGGTAATAACACTCTCTGCATCGGGGCTGCTCATCGTCATGGTGTTGCTACGCCCTTGTGCGACGCACATGGTTTTGGCTTCAGATGAATAAAATGAGCCTGATGCGCCTGCAGGACACGGAGACCAACGAAGTGTGAAGATGCCTCTTCCTGTGAGCTGCTGAGGGAGAGAGAGCGCACTGTCCGATGGCCCTCCGACCGCGGTCGACATTATGCACATCACAGTTGCTAAGTAAACAGTCGCGCGAATATCATAACACCACCAAAAGAACTACAGAAAAACAAAACTAAAACAGAAAAACATTGCCTGGAGGGAAAGATGCAACCAATACGGAGCATACGCAACAACGATACAAGTTTCCCCAGCACCTAATTAGCATTTATGCTGCTTCCTTGGAAAAAAAAAAACATATACTCACAACGTAGGGTGCAATACACACGAAATTTCTGTAGTGCGTATACCTGCTGCCATGATTAGTTGCTATCGGCAGCTGCATGGCATACATTCCCACACGTCATTTGCACCAAAACATTTCCTTGTGCTTTTATTTTCTCATCCTGCGTACAAGGCACTTGCTTCTATACTAATACAGCTATTGTCAACAAACCAACACACGCACACGCTTTTCTCAAACCATGTGCAGGTCACGCAGTTCCGTGCCGTTTCTCCCACTGGCGCTGTTCCTGCTGTTGTTGGCGATGCACTGCGCCGGTGGGTGCCTCGCCGCCGCTCCCGCCCTGAGGCACCGCTGCAACTTCGACGAGGTGATGCGAAAAAGCGGCCCACTGCCGACTGCGGTGGTGCGTGAGCTTCCGCGCAAGGGACAGGGCGCGATGCAGGCGTACACCGTCGCCTCTGCAGGAAATGGCAACGATGCCTGGGCGCCCATCCGCATTTTGGTGTCCACGGAGGATCTGAGGGACTCACGTAAGTACTGCAATGAAACTGGGGTGTCCCGCACGGACTTCACGC